CCCCCAAAAAAAAACCAAACCCCAAAAACAAAACAAAAACCAACTCCGATCATGAAACACAGTAATGGAGAGCAAGCTAACTTTATCTTAAAACCTGGATTTCCAGTTGTTTCAAATGAGTACTTTGATCTATACTCTTTCCCTAGTAACTAAAAATCCACAAATGAAGAAGGAAACATCAAAGACATAACTTGGAATTGTACAAGTCCATTCATCAGCTAGTGAAATTCAGCATGGCTCTGTTGACTTTGGTGTAGCAAACTTAATTTACACTGAGGATCAAGTCTGTATTTTCAAATTCAGGTTTGGTCTGGTTTTACAAAGCGGTTTGGAAGAGCATAAGATATAAAGTACTGTCTTTCAATAGGTGTCTTTAGGTGGAAACTAATATCTTACCAAGTACAAGTACTCAAAGCCTGATTCAGTTAAAAGCAGCAAAATGCCATAGACCAGTGCTTCCCAACAACTGGGCTGCAGCCCACACTATGCTGATTGGCGGGGCGAGAATATCCTTGCTTGGCCAATAACTGTGACTTTAGCTTTTGAAACTGGACTACAGTAACTGGCTAGTCACCTGCGTATCAGCAAGACTGCAGTAGCTACTAACGTCTGGCTCATATTCTTCCTGTATCCTTGGCAGCTAGCTAGTTCATGTTAGCCAACTAGTGATGTGCGTGTATGATTTTTAGCTATTGTCTCCTCCTTTATTGATGATGTCCCTCGCAACCCCTTCCCCCCGCCCACTTAAAAATTAAATTTAAATATGTAAAGTAGATTGTTTCTATACCCAGTCTACCAAAATTCTTAGTGTGAGTTTACCGGTTCGCAGTATACAAAAGGGTTGGGAACCACTGCCATAGACTTCAGTGGAAGTGTTCTTCTTTTAAAATGGTATGCGAGAGAGTGGAATCATTTGCAAAGTAGGTGTAAAATTGGGTTCCTACCATCTAATCTCACAAGCTGACCTTGTTGATGAATCTTCTTTCTCTTCAGATAACATCAGAACTCCATATGGAGAAAAACAGAATCCTCTTGAACAAGAGAACAGCTCTCCTTTAAAATTGGATGGGTCATAGAAATGAATCCATGTATTTATATTTAACCTTTTCTGTGATTTCTCATGAACTTTACAAATGTGAAAGGAGATGCAGGAGAAGAAATATCATACTTACAGACGGTGTGATGATAATACTCCCATAGCTCATTACTACCCCTCTGCCTAGTTATTTTTAGGTTTTATTTTTAATTGTAACTGTAGTGTTAGAGTGAGGTAGTTGTGACTACAACAGTTTAATGTAACTGCCAAACTAACAGAGTTTTTAGGGTGTTTTTTTAAAGATACTGACCATTCAGCCCTTTCCTATTTATTTACATCTATTAACATGATTTTCAAAATTAAGGTTAAAATGTTAAATCCTGATCTTATGCCTGCATGCCAGTTTAGCTAGCTCCAGTTTTCTTGAGAGGGATGCCTGCTGCTTTACTGTCAGCATCTTGTAGAAGCTTCAGCGTTGGCACTTCCTCTAGTCTATCTATGCTTGTGACTTAGCTTGAATCCCATAATTCCTTTGGGGAAGTTATTGTGGCAGAGGGCTCCTTATTGTCCTGGCTGCCTTAGTGAGGGGGATGATCAGGAAGGAGAGTAGATAGGTAGCCAAGCATCAGCTGTCTCTTTCCCCCCACTATTTCTGCAGCTTTTACAAGGGAAGAAGAAAATATCTGGCTTCCTGGGAGTCTGGTATATGAGACAGAAATGTATTAGGCACTTGTGTAATTATTATTAAGTAATACTTCTGTTCTATGCATGCTGATCATCTCTGTGGTAGGGTTTTTCATTGTTTTCTGGACATGAATTAAGGTGCTGGTGTTTGATCCTTACACAAGATATACACATTTGCAAAACTTTACAAAAGTTTTTCCCCGCTGATAATTGGATTCAGCAATTTTGTCTGGGCTTTGTCTCTAGGATTTAGAAGTAACCACCCTGTCACAAAACCCAAAGTCACA